ATACATGCCAAATATTGGTGTTGAAATGGAAATAGTATGCAAATAGTCAATGGTCCTTAGCCTCACATATATAAAAATACATTAAAAATATTCTCAAACAGTTCCCAAATACCTGAAGTTATAATATAAAACGCTGTACACATTTACTGTAATTACACTAATTTGAATATTCATCATATAGCTATTGCTATCTGCCTACAGTATACAGTAAACATAGGCTTTAAATGGTAGTCATATCCACACCACAGTTCGGATCGTGACCAAAATGTAAACATATTTCTACTAAAACATGACAAACTGTTCTGGAAAGAGACATTTGATCCATTGATCCATTTTGGAGATATTTAGATTTGGGACTTAATGGATCGTCACCAACACTTAATAATTTCTTCCTTGTAACTTTGTTAAACTTTCACGAAAGTTTCATTCAAATGAGTTTATCAGTTTTTGAAATATCTGGTCTAGAACTTTTTCTTTCAAATAACCAAACCCTACTCTATAACCAAAACTTAATCCTTTTTAATTTGGTCATACCTAACACTCCCTGTGACTTTAATATAGATCTGTTCAGCCGTTTTTGAGATATATTGAACACAACACACACGAACGAAAACGTGACAATCACACACAAACTTATATAACTGAAAATATATCGCCTAGCGGAGATAACAATAGCATTATTTCTTGTTTTGCAATGTAAGGAGGATGGTTCGTGTAGTGTTTCCTCAGCAAAATACACTAACACTCCCTGTGACTTTAATATAGATCTGTTCAGCCGTTTTTGAGATATATTGAACACAACACACACGAACGAAAACGTGACAATTCCACACAAACTTACATAACTGAAAATATATCTGCTAGCGGAGATAACAATAGCATTATTTCTTGTTTTGCAATGTAAGGAAGATGGTTCGTGTAGTGTTTCCTCAGCAAAATACAAAATACTATTATGGTATATACAAGGTTTCTAGATCACCACAATTACAGAGATAATTATCGATTATAGATAATTTTCTTTACAGTAAAAAATATGCATATTACTCCGCCAAGATCTCTCTATAAGATATAACGAAGTTACCTTATCGGCAATAGAAATCGGTATATAATCAACCAAGCCTGTCATAAAGTTATCGTCGCCTTAAATGAAATATGAGTGAACCAGTAGAGCCTGAGCCTCCGGTAAATCCTCCTCCTCCTCCTTCTCCTCCATCCTCAACAAGTGGGTATGTAATTTCTTTGCTTTGTCATTCTATTATAATTAAATACGATACCGGTATTTTAAGTCTTGTGTAGGAATATCAGTTCGCCATTTATATGAATGTTTACAGTGTTACTATGTATATAAACTAGCGAAACATACCGTAAAATACTCATTTTGGATGGTTTTTGGCTGTTTTAGTTCGATATCGTCAATTATCAAGCTTAGAAAAGTAGCTTATTGTGTTCGTGACTTAGAGCAACCCCAATGTATTTAAGATGAGGACATTCCTGCCAGTGGTTTCAGATGAGATAGGTGAGGTTACGTTGAGGTGTTAACAGAATTAATATATAGATGTGCATATTTTGTGAAAAATCTGAAGACTGAGATAGTCGATTGCCACGGAGCTTAAACTAATAAAATCTAGAAATATATGCGTATGTGAACAGTATAAATCAGACATATAATTTATATGATTGAATGATGTAGGCACTTCGTTTACAAACATAAACATAATTATGTAAATAATATTTTATACATTACTATTTTTATGTATTATGTTGATGATTTAATTGTACTGTATCTTGATGGTGTCTGTTTTAAGCAGAATCCTATTAATTATTTTAACAAGTGATTTGAATGTATATTCTGTCTATATGGAACTAATATATTTTTTGAATATGAATTTGTAATGAATTAAAGAAATATACTCACTGTTATTTCCATATTGGACAATACTCTTTGAATCTGACTTTTAAAAATTGTAGGCATATTTTATTTATCATGTGTCTTCCTAAAATTTACACATAAACCTAACCTATTATATTATATACGCTAATTGCATTTAAACATTATACCATTATGAAAAAACAGAGGTATAACGTCAGTACTAAAATAAAAGTTAGTTTTCTTTACTTTATGAAGGAGTTAAACATTACTTTTAACCAATCTTGGTATATCTTTATTTTCTCTCATTAGATGTACTATGCAAAGGACAGCCAGCTTATGTCTAAGCACAGAACCGATAAACAATCTTCGACCATCCGAAAATATGACACCGAAAGGCCCATCAAGCGTCTTTGATGTATAAAGATGTCTTAATATAAAATTACAAAGCTTAGCAAAAAGTTCTTTGGAAATCAAAAAGACTTGAAAAAAATAAAAGATGAAGAAATATTTATAACAGTGTACAAAAATGTATGATCTATCCAAATATTGTATGTAATATACAATAAATAACTTTCGTTAGTTTATTGATGTATGTTTATTGATGTATGTTTATTGACTTTAAAACATATGTTCCAATTGGGTTGACTTTGACATTTTAGTGATGAAATATATACTGCTTTCAATTGACGACAATCTTATGGCACTCATTCACGTTTATACTTTTAATTGCAAGTTATAGTTGTGCTGTAATATGTTCAACAGTATTATTGAAATTATATTGAAATTTATTATAACATCTTGCTGAAGAATCATATTAAAGATGTGTTTGATATAGAACAGAGTATTTAATTGGAAAAGTAACACATATTAAAATTTGAACTAATGAATGAACTTGTTTCTTTATTTACTTTTTGTATTTACAAATCACAATTCTTATTTAAACCAGTGAAGGAAAGTGAAAATCGAGAATACAAAAATACCTGGAACCTATTTAAATTAGAACTTAAAAACTTAATAACAAATGAATACACATGCAATTTTAATGAAGCCGAGAAGAAATGGGCCAACAGAAAAGAAAAACTCTCTGATTTTATAAAATGAGGGGAAAAACTAATCCTTAATAATTGATGCATTTATAAAAATAAATGATTTTATTTGTATTAGTTATTCTATATTCATGTTGTAAATGATTCTATATATTAGTAAAAGTATATATTTAATATAAAGGAGAGAACATAAATATCATATAAGTCATTTGTAATTCTAAGTATATAAGTATATAACTAAATTTTATTTATATAAGTTCTATACTTTTTAAACCTAATAGAGTTTAGATACAAGCTCGTGTGTACAGTTTTATTAAATGATTTTATTTTTATTTATTGTTCTATATCTAAGTTGTGAATAATTCAAATATATATTAATAAGAGTATATAATATATATAAAACACACTTGACTGTTGTTATTGTAACATACCTCGTGCTTACAAATATTTTAAGTCACCAGTTGTTTAGAAGCTACCAAATGGGACGTATATATCAACAACACCAGTGATATTCATGAACTGACTAACACTGTATCATCATAATTTATATTGCTTTTTGTGTGGATCTTATCCCGCTAAAACAGATTAAAATTGTAAGCCTTGGCTAGATTATGATGTTAAAGTTGATTTAAAAAATAAAATGCTTGCATTTAAAAATAAGGACCAAAATGACCTTAGATTAGTTAATTAATTATTATTATATACTAATTAAAATCTACTATAAAAAAAGGCTAAACAGAAATTTAAGAGAAAAATTGAGCAAAATTTTGTAGATAATAATTCTAGAGAAACTTGGAACGATGTAAAATTAATAACTGGGTGTAATGTTGAATATTAGTTGGTTGGTGGTGACTTTGAATGAGTAGTATGACACAGTTCCTTTTAGTTCACTGCAAACCTTTTATTAACACAAACTGTACGTTGGTTACAATTAGCTAAACTCCAGGTGTCAGATGTTAGAGAACCCTTTTAGAGTGGAGTCAGCTCGGCCCTGTACTTTCTTCTGTGTTGAATCTAACTACTGACTACTGAATACTACTCACTACTGATTACTGACCATTGCTGATTACTGGTTACTGGTTACTGGTCACTGACTCAGTGATATGGGGGTGTTTGCCTATTATACTTTAGGTAATGGGGGTGT